ACATATATTGTATTTCACGTTTTCAAGTATATATAATCATATATATATGCTAAGTTTAATAATCGTAAAAGGCGACCGTTCGTACACGTTTCGTTCGCGTTTGTTCTCACACTTTTAGTTCAAGTGCATGCCTTCACGTTCGTTCACACGTTTCGTTCACGTTTCATTCACGTTCGTTCGCGTTTCATTCATGTTCGTTCACGTTTCATTCACGTTCGTTCGTTCGTGTTCGTTCACGTTTCATTCACGTTCGTTCACGTTTCATTCACGTTTTATTCACGTTCGTTCACGTTTCGTTCACGTTCATTCTCGTTAAGTTCGCGTTCGTTCACGTTCGTTCGCGTTTCGTTCGCGTTTCGTTCACGTTCATTCACGTTTAGTCTACGTTCGGCAATGACGGGGCGGCAGTGGTGGCAGCGGAGCGGCAGCGTGGCGGCACGGCGGCGTGTCGAGGCGGGGGCAGCAGCGTGGCAGTGGCGTCGGTGTCGTCGGCAGTGGCGGCGCGACGTTATACGTCATCGGTGGTGGCGGCCGCATCGAAGTCAGGGTCGGCATCGGCGGGAGGCGGAGTCGAGGTCGGCCACGTCGACGTCGGCGGTGGCGTCGGCAACGAGGTGGCGGCTGTTTGGAGAAAGAGGGGAAGGCGGCGGCGGCTCTCACCCCGGAGATGCGGCGGCGGCGTCAGCGACGGAGGCGGCGACGACGACGACCACAAGACGACGGCGAGATACGGCGGCAGCGTCGGTGCGGGGATGCCCTAGGCAGTGGTGGCAAAGGAGAAGCCGAGATCGGGGAAAAAACTTCTAAGTGTTGGTGGAGAAGACGTGGGCGCATCGGGAATATATATACCCCTAGATCTTTAGTCCCGGTTCGTAAGAACAACTGGGACTAAAGATATCTTTACTCCCGGTTGGTGAGAACAACTGGGACTAAAGATAAGATCTTTACTCCCGGTTGTTCTTACGAGCCGGGACTAAAGATATCTTTAGTCCCGATTGTTCTCACCAACCGGAACAAAAGATATTTTCCCGCTATTTCCAAATTCTTTTTAAACCCGGTTAGGGTTAAGAACCGGGACTACAGATAATAGCACTGAATATTGAATTTCATTACATATGTGTTTCTAAAATAGTAAATAATGCATTAAAATTATTTAAAGTCAAAAAATTAATGACAATTACTTCGAAAAATTATTGTTGTCTGTAGTAAATTAAGTGGATAATATATAATAAGCACATGAATGATTTAAAATTATTAAAAATTCTAATAATCATATATAATTAGCATATGCATGATATTAAATTGTTAAAAATTCTAATTAACATATGTAAATACCACATGCATGATTTAAAATTAATAAAAATTCTAATAATCATATATAATTAGCATATGCATGATTTAAAATTGTTAAAAAATCTAATTAACATATGTAAATACCACATGCATGATTTAAAACTTTTAAAAATTCTAATTATCGTATATAACTAGCATATGCATGATTTAAATTTGTTAAAAATTCTAATAATCATATATAATTAGCAAATGCATGATATTAAATTGTTAAAAAATCTAATTAACATATGTAAATACCACATGCATGATTTAAAATTAATAAAAATTCTAATAATCATATATAATTAGCATATGCATGATTTAAAATTGTTAAAAATTCTAATTAACATATGTAAATACCACATGCATGATTTAAAACTTTTAAAAATTCTAATTATCGTATATAACTAGCATATGCATGATTTAAATTTGTTAAAAATTCTAATAATCATACATAATTAACATATGCCATACACCAATTAATTTATATGGATATTCAATACATTCAAAATAGTTTACATCGTGTACACAACAATTACGGCAATACATCGGCGGTGACGGTTGACCACACGTACTTTCTCCTCACTATTGTTCCTTCCTTGTGATCGCTACGTAAGGGGTGTCTTCATTTGATAGGAGGATGCTAGGGTCAATCGTCACCGTGAAAGGGGGTTGCCCATCAAACTGATCGTAATCCTCGTCAGTCTTGTCCTCTACTCCGACGATTTTTCTTTTGCCTAGGAGAACCACGTGGCGCTTCGGCTCGTCAGTCCCTTTGCCCTTCTTTCCTTTGCTAGACATGTCCTTCATGTAAAAAACTTGCGTTACATCACTAGCAAGGACAAAAGGTTCGTCCGAGTATCCAACCTTGTTAAGGTCAACCATTGTCATCCCACTGTCATCAATCGTTACGCCTCCACCAGTCAACCTAACCCATTGGCACCGGAACAGAGGGACCTTGAGAGGACCATAGTCAAGTTCCCATATGTTCTCGATGGCACCGTAATACGTGCCAGTTGTACCATCGTGTCCCATGGCATCGATACGAACAACGCTATTTTGGTTCGTGCTCTTCATGTCTTGGGCTCTCGTGTAGAATGTGTACCCATTGATCTCATATCCCTGGAATGTCGTGATTGAGCCAGATGGTCCCCTCGCCAGGAAGGCCAGTTGTTGGTTAATCGTCTCGTTACCCATGAGATGTTGTCGTAGCCACGTAGGGAAAGTATCAATGTGATGCTGTGTAATCCATGCATCGGACTTACCGATGTTTCTGGCGCGAACTAGAGACAAGTGCTCTTTGATGTAAGGAGCCACCAATGAAGATTGTTGCAGAACCGTGAAATGGGATTTACGGAATAAATTGTTGTCTACCGTCATTATTGCTTTCCTTCCGAGAGTCTTCTTTTCCCGTAGTCTCCCTTCATGGCGTGATTCAGGTACCCGATTGGGTGAAGGTCTTCAATAAATTCTACGCAAAATTCAATGACCTCCTCTGTTCCATACCCCTTGGCTATGCTTGCCTCTGGATGAGCACGGCTACGAACATACTTCTTCAGAACGCCTATGTACCTCTCGAAAGGAAACATGTTGTGTAGGTACACAGGCTCGAGAATACCGATCTCTTTGACAAGGTGACAAAGCAGATGCGTCATTATATTGAAAAATGAAGGTGGAAATATCAACTCAAAGCTGACAAGACATTGCACCACATCATTCTGAAGGGCTTCTAATCTATCCGGATCGATGACCTTCTGCGAAATTACGTTTATGAAAGCACATAGCTTTGTTATTGTTGCCCGGATATTATCTGGAAGGATACCCCTTATTATAACTGGTAGCAGTTGTGTCATCAACACGTGACAGTCATGAGACTTTAGGTTTGTGAACTTCTTCTCCTTCGTGCTTATTATTCACTTTATATTCGTGGAGTATCCAGACGGTACCTTGATGCTCTCCAAGCATTCAAACATACTTTCCTTCTCTACCTTGCTAAGAGTGTAGCTGGCTAGACTCAAGTAATGGCTTCCTTTCTCCTTGCGTTGTTTCATATGCTTCAGATCATTACATGCTTCCAGTGTATCTTTCGACTTTCCATATAAACCTAGGAAGCCAAGAAGGTTTACGCAAAGGTTTTTAGTAAGGTGCATCACATCGATTGCGTGGCGGACGTCCAAGAATTCCTAATAAGGTAACTCCCAAAATATAGAGTTCTTTTTCCACATTGCCGTGTGACCATCTTCGCTCTCTATAGGCTGGCTGCCAGGCCCCTTTCCAAACACTACTATAAGATCTTTAACCATAGCAAACACTGTTTTTCCACTGCGATGTTTAGACTTCGTACGGTGGTCCGCCTTATGTTCAAAGTGCTTGCCTTTCTTCTGTACTGGGTGGTTTGCAACAAGGAATAGACGATGACCCATGTACACAACCTTCCTACGGTGCTTAAGATACGTACTTTCTGTTTCATCCATACAGCGAGTGCAAGCCTTGTACCCCTTGTTGGACTGCCCGGATAGGTTGCTAAGTGCAGGCCAATCGTTGATGGTTACGAACAACAGCGCTCGTAGGTTAAACTCCTCCTGTTTGTCCTCGTCCCATACGGGGACACCTTCCTTTTTCCACAACAGTTTAAGATCTTCGACCAGTGGTCTTGGTACACATCGATGTCGTTACCAGGTTGCTTGGGGTCTTGAATAATAATCGGCATCATTATGTACTTAGAATGAATAAATTGAAGAACGCTTCTACAAATTTTGTGAGTACATATACAAAATTAGTACTTAAAAGATAATATGTATGGCAAAGATATGAACGAAATGATTAAGTTGGTACATCAATTTTAAGTTAACTGTATCATAATTGCACATTTGTACTAACCTTATAAGTTGTTGTATCCGTATACTCACTTGTTAAGTTTTTCACTAAATCACACTCGCCTGTTAAGTTGTTGCCCTACAACACTCACTTCTCGAGTTGTTGTACTAAATTGCATCCATCTACTAAATTGATATACCATGGATGTAATTTACTATAGATTTTTTAATTTTTACTACCTCCGTCCCAAAATAAACGCAGCCATGAGTTTCCGCGCCCAATTTTGATCGTCCGTATTATTTGCAATTTTTTTATAATTAGCATTTTTGTTGCTATGAGATGATAAAACATGAATATCATGTTTTTTATTTTTTTCAAAAAAAATTCAAATAAGACGAACGGTCAAAGTTGAGTGCAGAAAACCACGGCTGCACTTGTTTTGGGACGGAAGGAGTACAGTTTTTACAGTTATTATTGAATACATTTTCAAATCCTTGAAAGATTTCTTAATAGACCTTTGCGACTAAAAGTTTAATTTCTTAATTGCAGCAGGAACGAGCTTTGTACTGTTCTTGTGAACAGTATTCAGGAAAGATCTAGAACGTTAATTTCTAATCTAATGGTGTCTGTATGACTGCTTAAGTTGCAGGGACTATAACCACTGCAGTTGATCCCAATCCGGGTCATGTCATCATGTGATACTGTGATTAAGCTGTCGTTTAGCCCCGCCTTGGGGATGGAAGCTTCGTGGAAACTACCTATACTAAGATGAAGGTTAAGGTCACGGTAACCTGACCGGACGGTACTTGTACCCTAGGCCTATAAAAAGCCCATGCCCACCCGGCCTCGGTGCCTCATCCTAGCCTCCCTTTCGCCTACCACGAAATTCACTGGGTTTCGACTTCGTCTCCTCATCGTCGAAACGGCCTTTCACTCCAATTGGTTATTTTTCTGAGGTATCCAGCTTTATTTCTCGAATCTCCTCCTCTCTTCGATTTTAGCCACTCTTTAACTGTACATGGTTGATTGAATTCGTTCTATGTACAGCTTTATTTCTCGAATCTCCTCCTCTCTTCGATTTTAGCCACTTTACATGGTTGATTGAATTCGTTCTATGTACAGTTAAACCAATCTATTTTCAGTTGGTAACGTCCTCTCTTCGTAACGGTTGGTTCATACTATACCAATCTGTTTTTAAGTTTACCCTCGCTTCCTACGGGCACAGCCCAAGGCGATCAGGCGATCGGGTCAGCACGGCACGGTCAATACTTCGGGCCGTGCCGTGCCGGTCCACGGGCTGCACCTCAGCGTCCAGGCACGACCCACCGGAAGCCGGGCCGTGCCGTGCCGGTCCACCAAAGGCACGAGCGGTCCATCATTCCTTTTTTAAAAATAAATCTATTTCTCCTCCCTCTTCTTTGGGCCGTGGCATATATATATATATATATATATATATATATATAGCTAAATTAAGTCTATTTTACGTCTCTACTCTTTGGGCCGTGTCATATAGTAAGTCTATTTTGCCTCCAATTCTTTATGATATGTCTTACATATGGTGAGAATAAGTCCGTTTCGCAACCCTACACTTCGGGCCGGGCCGTGCGGGCCCAGCGTGCCAAGGTAGCAGCCCAAGTACGACACGGCTGTTGGGCTGGGCTGGCACGGGCACGACCAGAGTCAGGCCATGCTGGGGCCAAAATTACCGGGCCTTGGACGCATGGCCATATATGGCCAGTTTAATCGGTTTAGTTCAACCTGCAAAAGCCGCCTTTTAAATTAAGTCAAATCTGTTTTCATCACTTCTCGTATTTTTCTTTATCTACCTCTTTTTTTGTTTGGATAATAAGATCATCTGGGTTTGCAGAAGATTTCTTTTCTCAAATCTCTGTTGCCGGAAAGGTAGTGCGTATGAACTTCCGCATACAATTTGGTTACTTCCGAATTCGCAATTAATTTGTGGAGCAGGAAGACATAAATTTGGAATACTCAGATCTTCAGACTTGGTTATGCTCGTAGGCTACCCAAGTCTTTTAACGCTAATTATTCCTTTACAAAAGCTGTTCAATCCTTTCTAAAGATGAAGGTGTTCTCTGAGAAGCGCAGGGGGAAAAGTATATCTCTTCCCTTTGGAATAAAGGGATTAGGAAAATTTATGTGTGGTTTAGAAATTAATAGCCTCTTTTACATGTGAAATCCTGCCATTAATCCTTTTATCATTTGCAAATCGAAACTGCTAAATGACTGATGAGTGAAAACTGTCAAATTTTTAGGCCGTCGATTCCGCTTTAAGATTTGTGCTGAGATATTTTGCTACCGGATCTAAACCCTCTTTTCACAAGCTAGCCACATCATCATATGTTTATGGTAAATTTGTTCATGTTACATCTAAATTTCATTCCAATTATATGCTAGTTACATTGTAGTTACACTATAATTACATTGTAATTATATTATAAGTACAGTGTAACTACACTATAACTACATTGTTATCTCTATATAAATATAAATTAGATATAAAGTTGCATATATTATTTTAATACATATATGTACCAGTTATTATTATTATAGTATAGTTCTAGTGAAATTATATACTATAGTTAGATTTGAAAGTTTTCCAAAAAAACACTCGACAGTTTTTTAGCTAGTCGCTTTGCAAATTCGTTATTTTCTCTTTTTGATTTTGTCATTGGTATGTTCTACAACTTGTGTCATTTTAAAGATTGAGTTTTTGACTTCTCGTCAATTCGTCGACTGCTTATCAGTTGTATTCCGTGCCTTTTTACAAATTTGGAGCTCTCTCTCTTTACCTTACCGGAGGCATCTTCTATGTTTAAGCAAACATGGGGAAAAAATGAATTATTAGTATTCTTTTTCAGGAACAAGGTTTCGGAACAAGGTTTTAGCCATGAGGATCCATTGCAGTCTCTGCCAAACTGGCTTCCCGACGGGGATGAAAAGAAATAAGAGTTCGAGTAGGCCGTAGTGGTTATCTTATTATCCGTTGATTGGCTTATCGCAGACAATTTTTTAATTTTAAATATTACTTTTGAGTTAATTTTTGAGAATTTGTATTGCTGTTTGTATTTCAATCTTGTCTTTTAGACTACCGAGGATATCCTCAATGTATATGTAACAATAAGCAATAGTGGTAGGGCCTAGTGCAGGAAGCACTAACTATGGTAAACTTCACAATGGTAAAAGATTATTAGATGTGGGTCCCATGTCAAACATAACAATGGGTGTGAGTGGTGGTAAAAGGAGTATTAGATGTGGGTCTCATATTAAACATAGCAATGGTGTGAATGGTTATAGTGTACTATAAATCAGTAGCAGGTACTATCGTGTAGGGGTGAACAAAAAACTCGAAACTCGTGGCCCGGATCGGCTTGTAGCAAGCTCGAATCGGATCAATTTGAACTCGTAATCTTAATGAGTCGAGTCGAGCTAGCCTTTTAGCTCGTTAATATAAAATATCACCATATCTATATGAACTTAGTGTTTCTTGACTAGTGCGTAGTTTTTTTAGTTACATCAAAACTATTCATATTTAGTGAGTATTATTTTAGTTAATGTTTATTATTTATGTTAATACATAAGAAAATGTTAAATAAAATTATTAATATGATATTAATGAGATATAGCTCGTTAACGAACCTAAAGAGCTTAACGAGCTAGCTCGCGAGCCGAGCCGAGCTAGCATTTTAGCTCATTAACATTAACGAGCCGAGCCGAGCTGTCTCGTTAAGACAACGAGCTCAAACGAGCTGAGCCTTAACGAGCCGAGCTGGCTCGTTATCCATCCCTACTATCGTGGGTTCCACCTATATTAAACAAATAAAGAGATGCTCTCAGTTCTCTCCAACATACAAAACAAAGAGAATCCAGAACAAAGGCCGAGTTTAGTTCCAAATTTTTTCTTCAAACTTCTCACTTTTCTATCACATCAAAACTTTTCTACACACACAAATTTCTAACTTTTCCATCACTTCGTTTCAATTTCAACTAAACTTCCAATTTTAGGGTGAACTAAACACACCCAAAGACACACTAACAGGTTTGTCCCAACACTTTATCTCTCCGCTAGAACCAGCCTCTTGGGTTGAGACCTACAAAAACAGCTGCAATGTACTATAGGTGCGACACCATCCTATTCTCTCCTTTAGTGCCTTCTCTAAGTCCCACATTGTGGATGCTCTGATAGCACATATAAAGTTTTATTCATAAATTATTTTTATTGATTTGTTCACTTTTCAATGACTTCATCATATGTGTTAAGCCCTGTACATATATAAAGCATGTCGAAAAGTATGTAAAATAATGACGCTTTTATACTAGATGGTCTCAAAGACAGGAGAACGAAATTTTAGTCATTTATGTGTGGCTCGTTTATGAACAATTACCATCCTCATTTCTCTAAAATTAACTAAATTTTCTTGTCTAAATCTTGATAATAGAAAAAAAAAAGTACTCCATCCGTCACAAAATATAATAACTTTTAGCCCCTAAGGTTTGTCCCAAAATATAACAACTTATTCACCAATATTCTCTTATCGACCAATCACAACCTTCTAAGATTTAATTTTCTCACATATCTACACTTCTTAACCAATCACAACATTCTCCCGTTTAATACTACCTATTTTCTTAATACATCCTTATATTCTGCGACTGAGGGAATACAAAGAAGCGTTAGCTTTGACATGTTTCCTCCGAATCTGGTGAAGGTGCACTTTGTTTGGTTGCAGCTTAAAAGCTGAAGAAATGTGTGGTTAAATAAATAAAAAAAATATATATTTTTTATTTTAGAGCTACTCTGAGTGGTCCTAAATGGCGATAAAGCTTTAACTGAGAAACGAAAGTGACAAAAGACCGTTCAAATTAATTCTAAATTTAAGTTTTAAACTAGCTTCAACCCAAAGATTTCAATCGATAATTAAAACAAATATCACGATTAGAGATGGCAATTTCCCTGTTGGGGGCAGGGCCCTGACAGGTTCCCCACTCCTACGGGGCAAGGGGGGGCTAAATCTTCACCTGCGGGTCTTACGCGACGGGGCCCCGACTTCATGCGGGGACTGGGCGGGGCGGCATCTTCGCCCCAGATGACCCACGGGGCCCCAAAGTGCTGAGCAGCCCATTGGCTATCACATATAAAAGCCCATTAAAAGCAGCCCAACCACTACCAGCCTTCAAAGGCCTATCATCACGTACTCCGCTTGCAGCCATCAAAAGCTCATAATGAATTGTGGACTTTTTTTTAAAGATAAATCCTAGCCTTTGATCAATGAGTTACAGCTAATTATTACACCAATTCATACAAATAAAAACGCATGACAAAAAAGTTATAAAAACCAGGCCTAAAAGGACAGGAACACACGCCAAGTACTAAAAACCAATACAAGAAAAGATCACAAAATTATTGAATTCTATTTGTGAATCTCCATCCGAAGTTGGCAAAAAGCTGTATAACCGTTGACTCAAGATTACGACATGCAGCTTTTATTAACTTGATATCTTCTTCACACTTTCCTTCTCCATAACTATGGCCTTGTTTAGTTCCAAAGTTTTTTTCTAAACTTCCAACTTTTTCCATCAACCTGTCTTACACACATAAACTTTCAATCACATCGTTTCAATTTTCAACCAAACTTCCAACTTCGGTGTGAACTAAACACAGCCTATGTTGATACCCAAAATTTGAAGTTTTGAAACTCACGCTCGAGTTTGACTAATTATTGGTCAACATTTAAAAGGTTGACCATTTGTTCTAAAAACGGAGACAGACGATGATGAAGCTTGAACCGAACAGTGCAGCATATTTTAGTTCTAGCTTAAGATTCCGTTCTTTATATTAATTAACCGTGACATCCCAATTGAGGTTCATAAAGATATTCAGATTACCATTAAAAAAATCTTTCTAATTGCAGGGCCGGCGCGGATGATGAATCACCAGCTGGGTTTCGTCGTCACGCTTCTTTCGGTCAGCGCGACTGTCCTCCCGGTTGGCGTCGGTGTGGCCCACGCCCAAGTCAGCTATGTCCCACTCGTCGGGCTCGTCGGTGTCCTCGCCGGCGCAAGCCTCATCATCGCCGGCGTCAAATCCAACGCGACGGCGGCCGCCGGCAATCCGTCAGTATTCAGCCTCCCGGCCGCCGGTGCAATAGCTTCCTCCTACCTGCGCCGCCGCCGTGACCTCTCCGTGGTAGGCCTCCTCACCGCGGCGTCTGCAGTTACGGCGCACGTCCCCGGCGTCGGCGGCGGCGGGCCGGCCGTCGCCTTCGTCCTCTTCTTGATGCTCCTGCTCGGCGTCGCCATGGTCATGCTTAGGAATCCATGGCGGCCTCCACTGACACAGACGTGAGCTATCATTGAAATTAAGTTATTGGGATAATGTTGAGGTGGTCAGAAAGTTGCTAGTACATAGTTTTACTTTATTCACCATCAGCTGATGTTCTTTGCTACTATGTCGTATGAGTAATTCGGTCATCGGATGATCAACTGAAATTCTAAGTAACATTTTCCGCTTTTACCCATTTTTGGATCTGTTATCCCAGATTTTTACCTCTTTTTTTTTCTTTTTTCCTTTTTTTTGTAGAAGTGAAAAAACAGTCGTTGGCAATACACCTTGACAGATTGGCAATGTTTACTTCCTGACAGAATTAACATTCTTGTCATTACCCTATCTTATCAGCCATTATTTGATCCTTCGCACACTAGTGAAAAATTCAAGTCAAAAAATGGAAAGTGATGACCAAACAGGATGGAGTACAAAATTGTACTACTTTATTAGCTTCATAAGTCAACCAATCGTTGGTTCCGAGCTGCTTATAAGCCAATTCAAATTTGACTGCTGCTTACTCCACCCTAATTTTATAGGAGTATATAGGAGTACCATATTAAATTCATTGTCGCCGTCTCGTTGGCATGGAAATTTCGTAAGAAATTCGTCCACTCACTAGCTACCATGTCTGGTGTCGCTGTCCACCCTGTCAGGTGGCCGCCGTCGCCGTCGCTGGCCACTGACAACGAAGCCGAGTGGCCGCCGTCGGTCGCCGCCGGTGCGAACGACGTTTTTATGATCTTGCCTCGACCGCCCCTGATCGATCAGAGCTTCAACTAATAAACTTAATTTCTTTCTATCTCAAAATATAAGATCAAAATATAATATGTTTGGGTTTGATGTCTAAGAATTTTATCTAACCAAAACTTCTTATATTTTAGCACATATGGAGTATAATTTATTGTTTTAAAATAAAGACTCACGATTTCATGTATAGATGAAAAGTCTACGGCAAATAATTCAGTATATATGGAGTAGAACATATACTTCCTTCGTTTCATTTTAAGCGCAACCATAAATTTATGTGTCCAACTTTGATTGTCCATCTTATTTAAATTTTTTTATGATTAATATTTTTATTGTTATTAGATGATAAAACATCCATAGTATTTCATGCATGACTTATGTTTTTTAAATTTTATTAAAAAATTTTAAATAAGACAGATGATTAAAGTTGAATATAAAAACTCAAAGATTGCGCTTAAAATGAGACGGAGGGAGTGATAAACACACATATTATATTCACTAGCATATCTCATGCATAGTTACAGCCCAACTAGACAAGACAACAACGAGGATCATATTACCGGCTTATAGACAAGACAGACAATACTTTTCATTTTCTTTATTTTTCTCTCTTTCTCATAAGCTTATAATTAACTTATAGCCTACTATTAAACTTACTATCAGATAGAAAATAAGAAAAATATATATATATTATATCAAAAAACAAGCTCTTGTGTACTCTTTCCGTGCTAAATAAATTTAACTTAAGAGGGGATGTGACCCTTTGTATTCATAGTACTCCCTCCGTCCCATAATACAAGGGATTTTGAGTTTTTGCTTGTAGTGTTTGACCACTCGTCTTATTCAAAAAATTTATGCAAATATAAAAAACGAAAAGTTGTGCGTAAAGTACTTTGGATTGGATAATAAAGTAAGTCACAAAAAAGTAAATAATAATTCTAAAATTTTTTTGAATTAACTCAAAATCCCTTATATTATGGGACGGAGGGAGTAGTTTAGTAGGGGTCACAGGTTGAGTTGTTTTTTTTTTTTTTACGGGGGAGTAGTTGTGTCCATCAGCAACAGTGGTTTGTGACAAGAGAAAGAGAGGAAACAAACAGAGCGAAGAAAAAGAAGCAGAGCACCGGTTGCGTGGCGCTGAACATGACTCCGGTCGCTGCCGACGACGCGGCGATGGTACCCAACACGGCCAAATTCCGACGAGCGAACGCAGCCGCCATGGCGAGCACTACGGTGCAGCTCCGGCTCACGTCGTCTCTGCTGGAGAGGTAGACGCCGGCGGTGATCAGGTTAACTCCGGCAACAGCAAGTGCCCAAAGAAAGAAGAGTTGGAGGTCGCCAGCGTCGCCGGCGTTCACCGCCACGGCGAGGGAAACCATGGTGACGAAGAGGCCGACGGTGGTCGCCCAGTGACCCCAGCCGCCGGAGTCAGCCGCACGCGCGTCGCCGCCGCCGCCGGCAGCGCCTCCGCCGCGGAGGCGGAGGGCGAGGTGCAGGTTGGCCTCCTTCTTGATGCCGTACTCGGCGAGGGTGCGGCCGTCCTCGAGGTGCCGGCCGGCGAACATGAGCCGCTGCTGCGCCGCCGGGATGCCCCCCTTAGCCTGGATCTTGGCCTTCACCTTCCCGACGGTGTCCCACGGGTTCACCTCGACGGCGAGCGGTCCGGCCGTCACCGTCCTGACGAAGATCTGCATCCCGGCGCCGTCGCCGGCGCCGCGGCGGCGGAGGTGGGGGACGACGTGGTCGGTGAAGAGCTGAGCGAGCGTGTTACCCCGGACGACGACATCCCCGGCCCCAAACCCAAGCGGCTTGCCCTTGCTGGCGCCGACGAAGCCGAAGCCGAGGCGGCGCTGCTTAGCCGGAGCTGCGCCGCCGCCGACGGCGCGAGGTGCGACGGCTCCACCTCATACGTGATAGTGCTCATCTTGAACAGATAATACTAGCTACTAATCAAGTAATTAGCTAGAGCTTAATTAGATATAAGAAGATGCTACCAATTACTAACAAAGAGAGATTAGCACATGATGTAGAGTAGTTAACAAGGGGACACCTCGAAATGGTATTGGATAATATCCCAATTTTTATAGACAGTGAAGCTGGTGGATCGGATGTGGATTTTCATCCCTCAAGCGGATATCCTCTCCTTAGTTGCATGTTATCTAAATAGGTATTAAAAAACTTTTAAAAAAATTGACAACATAGATTAATACGAAATATACCACTCCACAAACATGCAAGACTAAATTCAACTTCTATAAATTACAAAAAAAAAACTGAAAATAGTTATCGCACATTCGCAACTATATTTGTTATTTTTGTTACAACTTGTAGAAGTTGAATTTAAACTTGCATGTTTGTGCAGTGATATATTTCACATTAATCTATGTTGTCAATTTTTTTTATATTTTTTGATGACTATTTAGGTGACATGCTCGAAACAAGAGGATATCTCCTCGAGGGATGATTTCACTTTCCGCTGGTGGATCCCAATTTGACGTGACGTGCATACGAAACTTGATCTATAAGCTACTACAGCTAATCGTGACATCATCTCCCGTACGTAGGAACGAACCTTCCTGCTCAATGCACCATGGTAGGACCAAACGATGAGCTTGACTTGACTGCTTGAGCCTATAGTTGGCCATAAGGCCCGAGGCCCGAAGGCCCGGCCCACGGCACGCCTTTTTGGCCCGGCCCAAGCACGGCACGGCCCGACTTGGGTCGGGCCCGTGCTGGCCCGGCCCGACCATCGGGCCGTGCCTGGGCCTCCCCACCGGCACGCTGGGCTGGCCCGGCACGGTCGGGCCGGCCCGGCACGATGGGCCGGCAGGCCAGGCCCGGCACATAAAGTATAGGGACTAAAAATAGACATATAAATGTAACTGTCTAAAGAATAGGGACCTTAAATAGACTTATTTTAGCTATTTATATACCCCAGCCCAAAGAAGAGGGAGGTAAAATAGACTTTTTGTAGCTGTACATATGTCACAGCCCAATAGGAGGGAGGAAATTTAGACTTATTCTGAGGAAAAGCACGACGGCCCATCGTGCCTTCGGGCCGGCCCGGCACGGCCCGAGGCGTGTTGGGCCGTGCCTGGGCCGTGAGTGCGGCACGTGGGCTGGCACGGCACGGCCCGGTGCGTCGGTCGGGCCGTGCCGGCCCGACAAGCCTCGGCCCAGGCACGGCCGGGCCTGGGCCGTGCCGTGCCGGGCGGCCCACATGGCCAACTATACTTGAGCCCGTGTTTAGATCCAAAGTTTTTCTTTAAACTTTTAAATTTTTCATCACATCAAAATTTTTTTACACATATAAACTTCTAGCTTTTCCGTCACATCGTTTCAATTTCAACCAAACTTTCAATTTTAACGTGAACTGAACACAACCTCAAGTCGAAGCATTCTATCCAAAGACATTAATTAACTGGGTACGTAAAACAAAAAACCATTAATACATTGTAAATTAAACTTAAATTATTATGAAACAGTACAGTTTAGAGTTTAGTAGTTTGAAAAAAGTACTAACGAAAAACGAGATCATCCAAATAATTATAAAAAGTTAACAATATAAATGAATATATGTGATATACCATCTTACCAACATGCAATGTGAAATTTAACTTTACGTGTTTCAATAAAATAAATAGATTAAACTTTAGCTAGTTAACGTATATCCATTCATAGTCAAGAAAAGGTTGTTTAGCACTGCTGGGCCGTGTGTTCTTAGGGCCTGTTTAGTTGCCCACAAATTTTTCTAAAAACATCACATCGAATCTTTGGACATATATATGGCATATTAAACATAGATGAAAAGAAAAACTAATTGCACAGTTTGCATGTAAATCGCGAGATGAATCTTTTGAGCCTAATTAGGTCATGATTAGCTATAAGTGCTACAGTAATCCACATATGCTAATGACAGACTAATTAGGCGCAAAAGATTCTTACGGTTTCCGAGCGAGTTATGAAATTAGTTTTTTTTCATTCGTGTCCGAAAACCCTTTCGACATCTAGTCGAACGTCCGATGTGACATTAAAACATTTTCATTTCACCAACTAAACATGCCCTAGTCGAGCGATAGTCGGCAAGCATGGAGATCAACGGCGGGACCCACCACACGTTACTCGCCGACCTCCCTCCTGTTGCTGTGAGTGGGCCGGCCCCATAGAGACATCGACGTGGAGTACGTGTTTTTCCCCTCAAAGCCGCCAAAATATCCGGCGTCATCCGTGACGGGATGGATGTGTGCCCACAGGTGACAGGTCGTCGTCTACCTCATCATCTCCCTCCCGATGCGCGACATGTCGGAAATCCGCCTCACATCCATGTGTACACCAGACTCACCAAGGCGGCGAGGTCTTAGGGTTTCATCGTTTGATATACTCCAAAAATCTATTAACTTATTAAAGTAATAATAAAAAAAGAGCATCCACGTTCGCTCTCACGGTTTAGAAATTCTCACCTTATTAGAGGAAATTAAACGAAAAGTAGAGTCTGTCGACGGTGAATACCCGTACACCGAATAAATAGGGTATTATGGTACGTTGGTACGAGGATCTACACGATATGACATCAAAACAAACAGAGAGACAGATTATACTGGTTCAGATTTCTCGTAAGGTAATATCCCTTGATCCAGTTTATAGGAGATTCATATGGAGAATCATAGAGTATACAGAGAACAGATGAATCCGACGTTACCAACGAGATCTTTGTCGAGATGATTCGATAAGGATAGCTTCACGTTCTCCGGCTTTGTAAACTTTGGTGGGTGCGTTGGCGCTATGATTTGATGATTGATGATCTAAACCCCTATGCCTATTTTACTGTGAATTGCCTTTGTCTCCGAGTAGAACTCGGAGACAATGAACCCTGCACAATATAGAATAAACTCAATCCTCCCCGAGTAGAACTCTGTTAATCACCCGCCCGTGAGGATATTTTCCATAATATCTTATAGATTTTCTTATCACATACGGAAATGTACCGTATACACGAAGGTATACCGTACCTGTATTTTCCATAAGACGTGGGATAGGAGGTATGTCTTATCCGTAACCATGACAGATCAATATGGAAATACAATTTAAAAATAATGAAAATTCGGAATTAAAAACAGGGAATATAGGAAGAGGTGACTAGAGGCCATACAAGTATACAATTTAGAACTAATTGAAATTCGAATTAAAAATAAGAAAACTAAAACTAGAAGTTAGAGTCCTTATAGAAATACAATTTAAAAATAACTAAAATTGGAATTAGAAAACAAGGAATATTGAAAGAAGATTCTATAGCACATATATAATATAATTTAGAAAAAAAACATAAATTTGGAATTAAAAAATAGGAATATTGAAAGAAAACTCTAGAGTCCATATAGGAATTTAGAACCATTTGAAATTTGAAATTAAAAAAAGAGAGAGTAAAGTTTAGAGTTCATGCAGAAATACAATTTAGAAATAACTAAAATTCAAAATTAAAAATAAGCACTATTGGGAGAAGAGTCTAGAGTCCATATAAGAATATACTCCCTCCGTCCCAAAATATAACAACTTTTAGCCCTCAGGATTTGTCCCAAAATATAACAACTTATCCACCAACATTATCTTCCCAACCAATCACAATACTCCACCATTCACTTTTCCCATCTACCTCCAATACTCATCCAATCACAATCCTCCAGCACCACTTCTACCTACTTTCTTAATAACCGTGTCCAACATTAAAACTTCTTATATTCTAAGACAGAGGGAGTAATTTATTTCAAAAGTAAAAAATAAAAATATTGAAAGAAGAATATAAGTTCATATAGGAATTTAGAACTAACTGAAAGCCAAAATTAAGAAAAATTAAAAAAATTAAAAGTAGAATTAAGCGGTAGCGCTATTCCAAGCTCTAAAGCACGGAATATTAGTTCGAGCACCGCACAGCGCCCTCTCCTCCCGGTTTTCCCTTTTTTACCACCCCACCTTTCCTCCGCATCCCACCTTTTCTCGGTTTGTTCTTTTTTGGTTTTTTACTACTCCACCTTTCGTGTTTCTTTTTTCTCTTTTCCATCTCATCCATGCTTCATCAATAGGCCCAGTAAAATATTAACTATCCAGATTTTTTCTGTTTTTTTGTTTCTTCTCTGTTGTTTTTCTGTTTTCACGTTTTAGTAAAATATTTACCGTCTAGTTTTTCTTTCCGAGTTTTCCCTTTGTCTAGTATCTCCGCACGTTTCAAAAGTAAGAATTTACTCCGTGGAGTTTTTCATTTACTCACAGCCTTCTACATCTGTTCATTCAAAAGTAACATATTTACTCGCATGAATGCCTCCACATCGTATGACGCCATACCTAGATGGTCGTAAAAGAATTACTACCAGCTTACAACGATAGTAATTCTTTTACCAATATTTATAAATATTGTTTAGATTTCATGGTCTGTGAGTAAAACAATTACTACCTTCCTCTCGATATAGCCCATGATCTCGTAGCCATAGTGTAGTAATATGTTTACTGATGTGTTCAATACACAGTATAAGAGTAAAAATTGAGATTTTGTGGTCTGCGAGTAAAACAATTACCACCTTCCTGTCGATATAGTCATGATCTCGTAGCCACTGTGTAGTAATATGTTATTGTTTACTGATGTGTTCAATATACGGTAAAAGAGTAAAAACTGATACTAAAAGTATTGTTGATCTGT